ATCTGGAATTATTTGGGGATTAAAAAAAAAAAAAAACTGGAACTGCCTCTTCAATAGGAAGCAGAGCTGTAGCAGTTGCCTTACCCACATGCTAAGGTTTCCCAAAATAATACAGGCGGCCTTGCCACCCCCACAGGTAAGATTCTTTACTCCTGAACAGAGCTGTCCTAATATTCTGGATGTGCCATGCTGCATGGCAGCTTCCATTTCCTGCCTCTAAATCTTCTTGCTCTAAGCACCCACTTCCTTCTTATTTTTCCCAGGCTTGTTCTTTTTTCTTCTTCTTTTTCAAGTTTTATTTTATTTTAAAAAATCGACACATAATGCTTATACATATTTATGGGGTACACGATGGCATTTCAGTACATACAATAAATATGTGATGGCCAAATCAGCGTCATTAGCATATGCATCTGCTCAATCATGTATCATTTCTTTTTGTTGTGAACATTCAATATCTCTTTCTAGCTATTTGCAACTGTAATATGTAATTGTTAACTTACTGTTAAGTCACCTTACAGTACTATAGACTGCTAGAATTTTTTCCTCCTATCTAGCTGTAAGTTTCTCTCTTTTAATTCTTCTCTAGCCCTCCCTTCTGTTACCCCAGCCTGTAGTATCCTCTGTCCTCCTTTTTACTTCTGTGAGATCAACTCTTTTAAGCTTCCACTTATGAGTGAGAACTCACGGTGTTTAACTTTCTGTTCCTGGCTTGTTTTCACTTAACCTAATATCCTCTAGTTCCATCCCTGTTGCTGTGAATGACAGGCCGTATTCTTTTTTTTTTTAATGGCTGAATAGTATTGCATTGTGAAACAGGCCTGTTCTGGGTCCTCTTCCTTCTTTGTCCTCTTGGGTTCTTTCCAAGCAGATGAGGCTTTCACATAGAAAAATAAATCTTCCCAAGCTGTAAACTCTAGTAGTACTAATGTTCGCTTAAAATCAAGAAAGAAGCAAAATGTCTTACTGTCCTTTTATAACAGTTTGTTTCTCTTCTTCCCTCCGTAAATCGTGTCTAAGGAAGGGGCATAGAGAAAAATATCCTTGTATAGTGACAGCTAAGGTATCATGTTGTTCTGCCTCCTATGAAATAGCTCTCCAACCTCAGAATAGGTCTTAAGAGAAATGTTTTAAGAGGCAAGGATTATTTAAATTGAGTTTTAAAAATGAATATACCTTCTGTTTATTGATACCTTAGTTTCTTTGTTATTCATATTCTGTAACCTGAAAAGCTGTGCAGCTGCAGACAGGACTTGGCTACAAGTTTCATCAAGGCAGAGATTGTCTCTTGTTTATCTCTGTATCCTACAGTTTAATATAGAGCTTGGCACAGAGTAGGTGCTCAGTAAAAATTTAGTGAACAATGTAAGAAGCAACAAAACTGCTTAGTAGAAAGGAAGGTAGTTCACAAAAGTACCTACTTTTACAATAAAATAATTGACAAGCTTCATTATTTGATTTCCTTAGAAAATCTTTAGCTCTTTCGTAAGTTATAACCAGAGGAATTTACAAAATCTGAAGGATTGCCGGGTGCGGTGGCTCAAGCCTGTAATCCCAGCACTTTGGGAGGCCCGAGGCGGGTGGATCACGAGGTCGAGAGATCGAGACCATCCTGGTCAACATGGTGAAACCCCGTCTCTACTAAAAATACAGAAAATTAGCTAGGCATGGTGGCGCGTGCCTGTAATCCCAGCTACTCCGGAGGCTGAGGCAGGAGAATTGCCTGAACCCAGGAGGCGGAGGTTGCGGTGAGCCGAGATCGTGCCATTGCACTCCAGCCTGGGTAACAAGAGCGAAAACTCCGTCTCAAAAAAAAAAAAAAAAAATCTGAAAGATTTAGGATATTCAAGACAACAGTTGGAAGTAGGAATGGGATGGTAGAAGTAGACCATTTACTGCAGAGAGAAGTAATATGCTGGAGGCATAGCAGTCAAGGGTCACTTAATGTAGAGACAATTGACTTGAAGGCTTAACAATATTGCCTAGAGGAGAAGGACCACCTGAACCATTGAACCCGCAATAGCACCCTAAGACATTGCTGTATAGTATCCTGTGTGTATAATAGTAGGTAATTAATACTCTGTTAGCTAAACAAGCATTTTCATTAAAAATTATTAAAAAGTTAAACATTGTAGTGCTGAAGTAGTTTTTTAAAAATTCCAAAATGACACTATCATTCCTTGAAAGTGTGAGATAAGTAGTACTGACTAGATCCATAAAAGAGTTGATAATAGCGCCTTCACCCATGTTACTGACATATATCAGACATGCAAAATGGTGAAAATGTTGGATGAGGGACAAATAAAAGGCAGTATTTGTGTAGTTCAGCTCAGCTTGATACGCCAAGAATTAATATCTTAGTACACTTCTTGGGTACTTATGCTTCTCATTTTGCATCTGTCTCATGAAACACAGCATATTGTAAACTGTGATCTTGAAGAAGCAATGTTTTTAATTAACTTTTTATTGAAGGATAAACATACAGGGAAGAGTACAAGCATCCAGATCAAGAGAAAGAGCATTACGAGAAAGAACCCCAGAAGCTCTCTGTGCCTCTTTCTCCTCCTGTCCTCCCCTCACCACTGTGGTAGAGCGCCGCCATCCTGACATCTAACAGTTACATAGTTTAGCTGGAAGCAGTGGTGTTAACATTTTTCCTGTAACATTTTGAAGGTTTCTTTAATGAGCTTCAGATAAAGAGGAAAGAAGCATGACTACACACTATGGCTTTTGTTTGACTTTGTTTCTCCTTCTGAATCATGCCTGAGGATGAGGATGATTGAATGAGATCAGAGTGCTTGGACAGTCTCAGTTTGGGTCTCAAGTCCCATGTTTTTGGAAAAGGTGGATGCTCTATGTGTTCTACATTTCTGTGTTTTGAGGAGGAACACAATTTTGTAGTGTCACTTTATTTTCTGTTTGTGTCCGGACTTCAAAGGGAATTGCCACCACTCCATTCAGAATGAAGTCCTGTCTACCTTTGATGTTGTCATTGATGTTAATTTATTACTAAATCAGCATGCTGCTTAGACTTATTCCCAGGATTTATGCAAGGTATGAAAAGGGAAATGTTTTCCCTATTTTACACATTCATAATTAGCTATTTAGAATTAACTTGTTTGGGCTTTCAGAATTAATTATTCATGAGGTATTTGACTTAATTTTCTGTACGTGACAGAGTGACCAATAAGAGGTGCTCTGGATGGAATTTTCCAAACCACTAGCATTGTATTGTAAATCTCAGCCTGTAACATTTTTGCATTCCTAAAAAGTTTCTTAGGATTTTAGTCAAATTCTTGTATTTTCCTATTTATAAATTGAGTTGACTCTTAAGCTTTTGCTGTTTAGAGAAGTGAAAGAATGTGTGTGTGTGTGCATGTGTGCACACACACACACATGCATGCACCCCTTTCAACTGTGGAAGTTATCATTTTCGGAACTTTCTGAGTCAAAAAATTTGTCCATTCCGCAGCTGTCTTGTTGCCTTGCCAACCAGGTTTTCAAAAGGTTTGTCTGAGGTTCCAGTTTTCAGACTACTAAGAGCCTTGATCCTCAGCTGGGACTACTGATCAGGAGTTTATCTGGTATCATTTTATATGTTACTGACTTTGACTAGTTTTTTAGAATTGTGGTAAAATGTACGTCATGTAAAATTTACTATTTTAACCACTTTTAAGTGTTCACTTGGCCATTTGAGTTTTAGAACTTTTATTCATTTATAACATTTCTAATCAACAACTAGTGAGGATGACCAGTGTGCCTTGAGCTAGGGTTGGTAGATCATTGATCATTGGAAAATTATCAAAGAAATGTAAATAAAGTTTCTGTTCTCAAGATCCCTATTCTTAACCTCAAAGAGGTTGAGCCTTCTTGTTTCATTAGAGAAGCAAGATGTATACACACCAGTTAAACTTTGCTTCATGGTAGATGAGGCCCAAATGTTCAAGGAAAGCTTTGTGTAAAGGTGAGACTCCTGTTGGTCTTTAATCAGGGGCAGGATCTGTCTAGTTTGAGAGGGACAAAATCTTAACATATGTAAAGATTTTTATTTACTTCTTATTTTGAGTACAGTACAATGCATTCTTGGGGAACAGTGGTGAACTAAAATACCATACCAGCTATTTCAGTGTTAAGCCCATTGTCTTTTACAGAATCCTTTGCTTTTAAAATAAGCTGAATATTCAGATGAGGGAACATATTCTTGTCACATAATTAATATTTTTATTTTCTTTTTTGCCTGTAAAATAAAAAAAATTTATATTTTAAAAAGTCACAGAAACCAAATTCACTTAACTTGTGATATAGACAGTGTTAAAAATTCAGATTTACATGACAAGAGGTTAAACTTCCTATTAAAATTATGTGCAAATATCTGTGTTCGTGCAGCATTAAACTTTTCAATGTATTACCTCTTGGGAGTAAGTATTTCCTTAGTGAGTTTAGAACAACTTGTGATTATAGTTTTTATGAAAAATAATTATATAAAAATAAGCACATAATGAAACACATATTTATTGAAATTAATCTTGAATGTCTGCTACACTGAAATTAGGTAAAAAGTTTAGAATGGGTGTGTATTGTGGATAAAGATTGAGTTATTATTATTCTGAATAATATTGTCCCAATGCTTAATGGCAAAAGATGGTGCCCATTTTGTTTGTCTGTAATGGTTCAAGGATTTAATCTGGACTACACGTAATGTCTTAAAATAAGAATTAGACCATCCTGGTCAACATGGTGAAACCCCGTCTCTACTAAAAATACAAAAAATTAGCTGCACATGGTGGTGCGTGCCTGTAATCCCAGCTACTCAGGAGGCTGAGGCAGGAGAATTGCCTGAACCCAGGAGGCGGAGGTTGCGGTGAGCCGAGATCATGCCATTGCGCTCCAGCCTGGGTAACAAGAGCAAAACTCCGTCTCAAAAAAAAAAAAGAAAAAAAGAAAAAAAGAAAAAAAGAATTAAAAAGTTCAAACCATTTTTTCTTTTCTTATATCTGCAGACAGGCAAATGTACACTGGGGACCACCATGTTCACGTGACATCAAGAGGAAGCGGAAACCAGTGGCCACAGCATCTTTGTCTAGCCCCAGTGCAGGTGATTACATGCAGTTAACATTTACTGAGCATGTACCATGTGTCAGGCGCTAAATTATGTGTTTTGTATACCTTTTCATAGTAATCTTTGTGATAGTGTAGGTCATTTTATTCCCATTTTACATGGGAAAACTGAGACTATAAGAAATAATTAGCCTAGTTCTCCCTGACTCTGAAGTCTACGTGTTTTCACTGTTACTTGGCTTTCTAGAGTTTGAAACCCTATATTCCACTGTCAGCAGTCTCCAGTCATCTGAGCTATTGTTCTATCACAGACAGGTCCATGTTAATGAAAGTCCAGGTGAGGTGGCAGTTCAGTCAGCAGTGAAGCAGTCACATGGGGTTATTTACTTTCTTCTTTTGCAGACAGTACAGTACATTCTTCCTGCTTTTATGTATAAGTAGAACGCTAATATTTTACTGGTCGTGACATTCCTAATTAAAAACAATTTTTTAGGCTAAAACTTTTCAGTTTTTTTTTTTTTTTTTTTTAAAACAAAACTAACACTAATCAGTAGAAGTGAAAATAGTGGTTCTCTTTGATCGGGGGTAGTAACCAAGAGAGGGCACAAAGAAGCCCTCTGGGCTGTTGGCAGTGTGCCATATGGTGAGCTCAGGTGGGGGTGTATGGCTGTTTAGGTATGTGGAGTCTGGAGCTGTACACTTAGGATTGATGTCCTTCACTGTGTGTATGTTATCCTTCAATGAACAAAAGCAGATAATTATGTATTTATTAATATATCAGTGATAAAACTGGATACTGAATATATCATCAAATGCTTTGTTTTCTTTAGTAGAAAATACTACCTTTAGTAGAAAATACTACCAGAGCAGTTGATAGCTGAATAGAGAGTAAACCGCAGACAGATGGGGAGGGAGCCCTGTCCTCTGCCTTGACTTAGTAAGTTTTGGTGACCTCTGAAATTGTCCTCCTTGAGCTTCTGTTTGGGGTGTCTGCTTGATGGTGGTTCATATTGGACAGTCTTCATCACAGGCCTGATGATTGTAGTACTTTTTTTTTTTTTAGTGTCAGCTCAGTGGCCAGGCCCAGAGCTGAACTCTTTGCAAACATTATTTCGCCTAATCTTTGCAACAGCCTTAAAAGGTAGATGCTGTTTTTATTCCCAGTTTACACATGTAAAAACCAAGGCTTAACTCACTTCCCTAAGGCCACATAGGTTGATAAATTGCAGAGCCAAGATCAGACCAGTTTCCCTGTGACTCCAGAGCTGTCCTCGCGAACACTGCAGGTGTTCTACTTTTTACATACAACAGGCTTAAGTCCAAACTATGACCCCGCATCAACACTCAGATCCTCATTCAGTCTATAGCATTGGAAGCGTTAAAAGAAAACCACCCCTCTTTTATCTTTTTGTTCTTTTTTTCTCCCTAATATCTTGCTTCTACTTTTAGCTTTTAATTATTTATAAGAGAGGAACCATTGGGAAGAGTTTAAAATCCTTATTTCATATTCAGGTTGGGAAATGTATGTGTGTGGGGTGGGCATTAAACAAGACCTGAGCATTAAACATTTCCCCTTCCTGAGCCCACCTCCTCTCCTCTCACTTGTTGACTAAGCCCCGCTTCACTGAGCATTTTCTTTTTTTCTACCCACAACCTGAGTGCCCCATGGAGGTGAAGGACATAGCCTGAGTCTGTGCCATCAGTCAGGAGAACAAATGGGCTTGCTCTGCGTAACATCGGGCCATCTCGGATTCCACCTCTTTTATAGGAATGAGTGATGAAGAGAGGTGCGTTCCGCTTTGCCGCTGTATTAATACACATCAGGGGCCAGCTCCTGGCACTAAATCACGCTACTGCATACATCTGTTATCGGACTCTTCACCAGTGTGATGAACAAGACTGCAGATAGAGGCTTCCTTGTGTCATTCTTTATAGGATTTTCCTAAAAGAATAAATAGCTCAGATCTCTGCCAACACTCTCCCCTGTCACTGTGATGAATTCAGCTTCTTTCTTAAACATGCAGCCACAAATCTTTTCCCCTTTTCCCCTCCTCCACTGGAAGAAAGTTTTGAGTTGAAATTGACTGAATTTAAAGATATTAATAAGGCTAGAGAGGTGAAGAACAGGAAGAAACACCGTGTCTTCCTTGTCTTTTTGTACTAATAGTAACAAAAGGCCAAGGAAAAAGACTGTAAGTGACCATAGAGTTCTTAAATAGACCCATCTTGAAAGTGCAGCACCTTTCATTTTCTTTTTATCTTCATTCTCCTCTCCTTTATGGCTTTATAGCACGCAGGTGTCTAGTGGACAGAACCACACCCTGGATTTTAGTGAGCAAGCATGCTAACCCTCTTCTAAGACTTGGTACGCCAGAAGCAGGATTTCCCAGCAATTGTCTCTCTCATGCTGAAGTGAACTAGCTGAATATGCTCTTAAAGAATGTACTCAGAAGCTGGGCGTGGTGGCTCATGCCTGTAATCCCAGCACTTTGGGATGCTGAGGCAGGCGGATCACGAGGTCAGGGGTTCAAGAGCAGCCTGACCAACATGGTGAAACCCCATATCTATTTAGAAAATACAAAAATTAGCCGGGCATTGTGGCACGCATCTGTAATCCTAGCTACTTGGGAGGCTGAGGCAGGAGAATTGCTTGAAATCCAGAGGCGGAGATTGCGGTGAGCTGAGAGCATGCCATTGCACTCCAGCCTGGGCAACAGAGTGAGACTCCGTCTCAAAAAAAAAAAAAAAAGAATGTACTTAGAGAAGGAAAAAAAAAATGGATTATCTTCTCCAGAATTTGAGACTAAGTAGCTGTGAAAAACATAAACCCAGATGAAAACCAGACTTTGTTTTCTTGAAATGATTTTCTTCATCAGAATGGTAGATCAGAGCCATTGGCATGCAGATTCCAATCCTTAAAAAAGTAAACACATGGCTTTTGATAAAGGGGAATTGAGGTGACCGGAAATTCTGTTGAGAACTCAGCTATTTGTGTGAGTATGTTTTAGCTATCCCAAAAGCTTTTTCTGACCTTTCTCTTTTTGGGATAGGATATGTGTGCTTAGAGTATCATTCAGAAGGGTACCTAATAGTTAATCTGTTAATTAGTTACATCAGATTTCAAATACTAGGTCAGGGATAGAAGAGAGAGACACACAGAGAGAGGAGATTTGAATTGTCAAATGTATTATCAGATGCATTCACAAGAACAGGACTGTTTATTTTGCTCACTACTGTACCCCTAGCATCTAAATGAATACCTAGCCCAGAGAACAAACCCACTAGTTATTTGTTGTAGGAATAAATTTATAGAATCTTAAAGTTGAAACAGAATAATTTCTGATATATTCTAACCACATGGTTGGATTCAGTAGTTCTATTTAGGATGTCCCTTTTCTCAGGAGTCATAGGACAAATTCTTATTGCCCACTGTGTCTTTTTAAAACTTAAAGGTTTTTAAAAATTAAACATGTTTCTTAGTAAATATTGAATTGGGTATAAAAGAACATTTATAGCAGATATGTAAGGAGTAAAGAAAAACAGGACAGCAAATATCCATGTACCTATCATTCACTTTAAGAAAAAGTTAAAATTTTCTTTTTTAAAAAGTTTAAAAAGTTAAAATCTTCTTTAAAAATCTTCTCTCTGTTCTCTTCAGAGGTAAAAGTTATTCTGATTGTTTTTGTTTATTGTTTGTCATTATTTTGTTTTTTTCAAGTAGTTTTAGCAGACATATGTATCTTTAAGCAATAAATTGTCTAGTTTTGTGTTTTTGAACCTTGTATATATGGAATCAATCAATCATATTTTATGTTACAACTTTCACCCAGTTCTATTCTTGAGATTCATTCCTGTTTTGTCCTGCCAAAATCTATTTTTTAACTGCCATGTATATGGTATTCCATTGTATGAATGTGATTAATATACTATAATTAAATGTTCTTGATGGACATTTGGATTGTATTCCTGTTTTATGCTATTATGGAAAATACTGTACTGTTCTCTGGGAGAACAAGTGCAAACATTCTTCCAGGCCACTGCACACTCATTAGGATGGCTGTATCAAAAAACAGAGAACATCAGGTATTGGTGAGGATGTGGAGAAATTGGAACCCTTGAGCAGTGCTTGTGGGAAGGTAAAATCATGCATTGCTGTGGAAAACAGTATGTAAAAAAACAGTTCCTTAAAAAATTAAACATTAAGACTACTATAGGATCCAGTAATTCTCTTTCTGTGCATATACCCAAAAGAATTAAAAGCAGAGACTCAAAATAGATTTGTGTACACCTCTGTTTACAGCAACATTATTTGCAGTTGTCAAGGTAGCAACAACTCACATGTCCGTTGCTGGATGAATAGATGAACAAAATGTTCTGTATATGTGCAATGGAATATTATGTAGCTGCTGAAAGCCTTTCTTATTCAGAGTGAAATTGGCATGTGCTACAACATGGATGAAGACATTTGCTAAGTGAAATAAGTCAGACACAAAAGGAGAAATATTGCGTGACTCTACTTTTATAAGCTACCTAGAAGAGTCAAATTTATAGAAACAGAAAGTAAAATGGTGGTTGCCAGGGACTAGGGTAAGAGGGAAATTGGGGGAAGTTATTGTTTAATGGGTACAGAGTTTCCATTTGAGATGATGAAAAAGTCCTGGTGATAAATAGTGGTAGTAGTTATACAACAGTGTGAGTATTCTTAATGCCACTGAACTGTTTACTTAAAAATGGGCAAAATAGCAAATTATATATATATTTAACTGTAATAAAAAAATAGCAAAAAAAAAAAAAGTTTTTTTAGGGTGGGACTTTTTTTTACTGAGGTTTGGTGACCATGTAGTAAGGCCCTCAAGAAACACACACACACACACACACACACCCCTAGCTAGATATACACACACTATAGAGTAATAGCTTTCAAGATATTTTTACATTAACCCACAATGAGAAATTCATGTTTAAATATGTGTGTTGGTTGTACATGTAAATCTGAAATAAGTCTTGGGTGCACTCGGATATTTTCTATTTTTTTCATTGAGAAAAAAAGTAATGGTCATGACCCACTAAATTGATTTTGTGACCCACAATTTGAAAATTACTGTTCTAGGTTACATTCCTGGGAGTGGAATTATTGGGTAACAGGATAAAATTCAAACTTACCTAAATTTTGCCATATTTTAGTATATGTTTGTTCTCAGCAGAGTGGGTAGTGATGATGGTGGTTTGTGCCACTCTTCTCAGGGGCATTTGGAAATGTGAAGTAAATGTTGGTTTGTCACAATGATTGGGGAATGTTCCTGGTATTCAGCAGATAGGATCCAGAATGGTAAGTGTTCTGAAGTACACAGGACAGCCCTGCACAAGCCATGTCTCCTGTCCAGAATGTCTTTAGTGATCTTATTGAAAAATACTGGGCCTGATTGTGCTCTTTATACCATTTTCGATAGTGGTAACACTGCCCTATCGGAGGCACGGGTTGTGGCAGAAAGAGCGTGGGGTTTAGAGTCCAGTACCTGTGTTTGAATCTTGATATTTAACCAGCTCTGTTTTATTCTTGAACAATTTATCTGATCTCGCTATACCTCAGTTCCCTGATCTAGAAAGTGGAGATGACTACTAGTAAGCATTTACATTAACAAATAAGATCATGAGTATTCATTATTTAAGCGTTAGGCACATAAATATTTAATAAGTGATTTTTACTACATTATGAATGTGTGCCACTGAATTTATTTGTTCAACTGAACCTATTTTCTCAGATTAGGAAATACCGTCTTATTTAAATATTTTTGTAGAGAGAAAAGAAATACCTTATGTGGCCACTTGGGTTACTAGGACATGAAGTATAAGGATTAAGAAAATTTTGTTTCTAAGTGTCTCTAATTTGTCTTATTCTAATTTCTCTCCCCTTGATTTTCTTGCTCCTCTCTATTGTAACCTTACTAGTTCACATGGATGCAATGGAGCCAGCCACACCAGCACCACAAGCCCCGAAATCACCCAGCTCTGAGTGGTTGGTCAGGACCCCTGCAGCAGAGAAAGCCACAGACCCGACTTCTGCTACATTTTTTAAAATGCCACAAGAAAAGAGCCCTGGATACAGCTAGAGAGCAAGACTTCACCCTCCAGGAGCTGACTGGATGTTGCTGAAGCAAATGGTGGACTTTGTGTTAGATAGTCTTTCATATCTTATTCGACATTCCTAGTCCTTTCACCACCAGAACCAACTCCTCTTCAAACGCAGCGGTGGACTCTTTCTCTCAGAAGATCACGTTGTGGGAATCTTTTTTTTAATTAGTGAAGTATTGAGGCAGTAATTTTTTACAAAAAGGTCATCCTCTGCTCTGTTTGTTACCTTGTTATTGCTGTCTCAACATTTACTACAGCTCCACTGACAGAGCTGTTGCTTTTTTGCAGTTGTCTTTGTTCTTGAAAAACCAGTTACTGCTTTTGCATACCTTTTGTGTAGAGCTTTTAATATCATTTGAGGAAGTTCCAAACTTGTAGCCAGTTCCAAAGAGATTTAACTCCGGAGTTGAGGCCTGTATGGAATTGTGTTTGTAGGACAGAAGGCTTGCCTTTGACCCTACTCTTGATTCACGCAGAGTGCCAATAAGATAAATCAACCAAGTTCTCAGTTTGGAGCCTCAAAAGAGACACCAGCAACTGGGCCTTGAGAACTTCCATTTTTCTGCAGATGGTCTGCAGAAACTCAGACAGCTCATCAGCAGCAGCAGCTGTATTGTATTTTACCTCATCTTCAGAGTTTATGTTCTACTGAAAGAGGACGTGTGTATACACACATGCACACACACACAAATTGGTTTAATGGAGAAGATGGTTTAGGTGTACAGCAAATTTAAAATAGTCAGTGGATTGTGTCTTACTACTTCATGTCCCAGTGTAAGCCTTTATGTCCTAAGCAGGACTTTATTGTTAGTATTATAGGTTAATAACCTGCAGCAGAAATTCGCACTCTGTTATAATAATGGCTTCTTGGAGCCATGCTTTGGGGAGGTAAAATGTCTTTTTGACATGCCTTTATACTTGGCGTGTTTATGATGGCTCAGCTGCATGTGGAGTTATATATACAGTCGTGCCTGAAGTTGGATGCTACTTTGTCAAAGTGAGAAATAAGTGATGGCCTGGAGCTGCTAGAGAGAAGCCATGCTTTCTGAAAAGTATTATCAAGCGTGTCTGTCATTCATTCAGGGGCCTGGATGACAGAAGGGCTCTTTTTTTATACCAATGAGTGTGTTTACTCTGAAATGCATGGAAGCTCTTTGTGAAGTGCTCCCTGCTCTGGTCACATTGTAGAGGGACTCCCACTCATGTACCTGCTTATTTTCTGTCTTAAATAGTGCTGAATGGGGCAGCGCCTCCTTTCCCTGAAGTGTGATTGCCCCTGTTTCCCATACAAAGTGTAATGATGGGTTGCTTTATCATGTTCCCTTTTAAAATGATCGTTCTTATCAATGGAAACTCCACATTTCTTTATTGATGCATCAAGTAGGGAGGTGGGTGGGAGGAATCTAGTTGGAAAAAGGGACTTGAAGCTAAGTTTCCATGGCACTTTAAGTAAGACTGAGAACATGTCAACTGTTCATAATCAGGACTGTGGTAGAGGGAGGTGCAGGTGGAGTTGATGGGGCGGGAGAGTGCTGAAGCCAGCCCAGCATGCCTGTAAGTTGCCCCTGGTTCTCACGCAGCAGTGTGCTTCCCTTCCCTGTGGGCCGTACCCCACAGGGCATAGAAAATAGAATGTCTGTTGAATAGAAAATGGTACCACTGAATTGTTTTAGTGATGAGGTTAGATTTTATTGTCATGTGCATTGTCACCATAGTGACCCATGGCATCTATTTTTAACATACTTGGTTGGGGTTGAGAGAAATCTATGGACGTAATTTTTTTCTTGTGTCAAGCTCTATAACTCATGCAGCAATTGGTCCGATGGTCATGGCCTATTAGTGAAAACCTCGAGAGGTCAGGTGGCCAAGGTGTTCCCACATCTTTTTTATATAACTTGTTGCCTAATAGTCCTCTTTTCTGCCTATGATTAAAAGTAATTTTTATATACAACATTACTTACATTTCAAACATCTCTACGAAGTCATGCCATTTTAAGGAGATGAAAATAGTCACAGAGTTAAGTGACTTGTTCCAAATCACATAAGTAAGCCAGGACTAGAACCCCAGACTTTCAGAGTTTCTCTGCCCTGGGTTATAATCTCTTGTTTAACAGTGATAGACCTGATTCAGTCTGAGATGCTTATTTATGAAACAGTATACCATGAATATTTATTATCTTTCTCAAGCATGCTTTTCTACATATTTTGAATCCTTTCAACAGGAATTGCCCAAGAATGCAACATCTACCTGTAATAAATGGGGAGAAAATTAGTTGCCTGAGAGAATAGAATATTAAGCACACAAATACTTTCCAACACAGGGTTGTAAATTGCACTCCTCATTTTAAGGTGCTGTATGTGCATGTTTAAGGAATTATTAATGTATTCTGCTTGCTTTCTGTATTAACCAGTTCCAGAGGATAGCCTTAGAATTGAGTGTATTTTGAATCTTAACACTTAAAGTTTCTTATATGTGGCATAGTGTACAATGTCATAAATTAAGAAAAATCTATAATCTTTTGAAGAAGTTACGTAGTTTCAAAAATCAGGTTTTGTAATCAGTGTTGAAAAAACTCTGAAATATGACTTGCTTTGAGGATGATCCTTGAGCTCATGTATTTGATCTGCTCAAAACTAATAACTAAAGCTGAGTTAAACAGTTTTTATTTATTTCAGGGTTCTGATTTATCCCAGCTGGCTATACAAATGGCCTGTCTGAATCCTAATCTTGTGTGTTTTCCACGATGGGCAGAGTCAAAACATTAACTGCTCCTGTAAGGATCATTAATAGAAAGTTAGTTTTAATTATGAGTTTAAGGGAAGTTTAGGTTATTTTTGAGATGCAGTATTTTAAAGGAACAAAACTCTCGTGTTGCCTTTTGTTGTTTGTTTCCTAGAGACAGGCTCTTGATCTGTCACTCGGGCTACAGTACAGTGGTGTACTCTAGAGTAGAGTAGAGTACAGTGGTGTGTTCATAGCTCACTCTAACCTTGAACTTGTAGGCTTTAGCCATCCTCCTGCCTCAACCTCCTGAGTTGTGAGGAATACAGATGTGTGCCACCATGCCTGGCTAATTTTTTAAGTTTTTGTAGAGATGGAGTCTTGCTCAGTTGCCTGTGCTGGTCTTGAATTCCTAATCTCAAACAATCTTCCTGCCTTAGCATCCCCAAGTGTTGTAATAGGTGTGAGCCCCCATGCCCAGCCTCGTGTTGCTTCTTGGTAAGAACTAATAAGAGGAAATTAGTAGCTTGTTTACCTGGTTCCAGATTTGGAGGGTGCTGAGTATAATCTTTACTGAGTGGTATGTGGTTGGAAGGTAGGCCACATTTAGCCTTGAATTGTTTAGAAATCAAGTGTGATTCAAAATGTCAAAGGACATTGCTTTGCTAGGCTATGAAATAGGCTACTAACGAGGCTGTTTTTGCAGCAAAATGGCCAAAATCTGAAATAAGTCTATTTAGTCTGTGATGCTTGTAGCATCCTTTGTTAAGTAAAGCGCAACACCTAGGACAAGTAACTAAAGTAGTTACGACTTCCAAATAGGTCGATATAGCCTTGCATTTTGGCATTTTGGAGTTAGAGACACTGTGGCTATATGTATCTACCTATAATATAGCCTGGGAAGTTCTGTTGCTGCCGTTATCATTAAAGTCACTTGGAATTGAAAAAGATAACAGAGTGTTGAGAGAAAGGAACTAGGCTGGTGCAGTCATTGCTGAGGTGTGATGGGTTCTCCACTTTGACTCCAGGCGAAGGCTCCTGGTGATACATGATTCATTTCAGGTCTTTGTTTTATTTTGGCTTCATTACTGTGGTTCTAAGCCACACAGGTTTTTCCCCCTGCGGAGAATACTATGTAAAAGTCTCAGCGTTAGAAGCTGTATTCAGCGTCCCGTATGTCTTATGAACCTTAGCTGAGCTGAGCTGAGAGCAGAGTGGCTCACTGTAGCAGCTGTGGATGCAGTCTAGTTGGAGGCATGGTTTGGAGGACGTCATGGTTCATGGGACGGTTGGAGGGATGGTAAAAGTGTTAGCTCTTGTCAGCTGCTTTCTCTGCCAGTGCCGGAACTGCCAATTTTACCTGTCAGTATTTCCTTTTCTCCCTGTTGTGAAAGGTCACAGAGTGATTGTCACTGACAACAGTTTCTCCCCATTAGAAGAAAACTGGTACAGAGGGAAAAGGTGAGGAACGTGGTGAGTTCCATCGCTCAAAACTAAATGCGAGTGGCACAGAGACGCTTTCTCCTATGCTAACATCTCCAAAAGATTAACATCAAATACCTGGAAATAGCATCAAAAAGAAAGAAGATGAGAAGTATTGTTGAAGAGGATGGACTACAGGTTTTTAACAAGCCCAACAAAACAAACTTATGGCCAAAAGAAGAAATATTTCTACCACTGCAAGTAGACATCATAAATGCTTGGTACAATTGCCAGATTTGGGGAATAAAACATTTTTCAAGTATTGAAGAATGAGGCATATCCTGAAGACATTCAGCAAAGAAGCAAGTTTGACAAGAAGGAGGAGTGGAAAGCAGTGGGAAGAGAAAGGGAGGTGCCCAGGAATTCTCCAAGTGTGGCCCCTAGGCCGGCACCATCAGCACCAGACCTACTGAATACGAAACTCTCAGGGGAAGGCCCAGCAGTCTTTCAGCAAGCCCTCCGGGGGCTCTGGTGCATACTCAAGTTTAAGAACCATAGGCTTTGCCACAGCCAAAAAGATGTTTTAATGGGCTGGTCTCTTCCTCAGTGCTGAGGTGCTCTCATATTCCCTCCATAAGTAAAGAGATGTTTTTTGTATAATTCTTTGCAGCAACTGTTAATGTCTTTATTTCTGTTTTTCCCCTTACAAGCTCCTGAAAGATCTCTTGGAAAAATTGACAAAGGATGCTATCAAGGCTATGTTTATATGGATGGAAGTAACCTTTTGAAAATGGATAAAGCTTGGCTGTGGTGACTCACGCCCATAATCCCAACACTTTGGGCAGCCAGGGCAGGAGGACTGCTTTATTGCAGAAGTTGAAGACCAGCCTAGGCAACATAGTGAGACCTTGTCTCTGCCAAAAATTTTAAAAATTAGCCGGGTGTGGTGGGTGCATGCCTGTGGTCCCCCAGCTACTTGGGAGGCAGAGGCAGGAGGATCACTCTAGCCCAGGAGGTTGAGGCTGCAGTGAGCCATGATCTGGCCACTGCACTCCAGCCTGGGTGACAGAGCGAGACCCTGTATCAAAAAATAAATAATAAAATAAGTATGGATAAAAATATAACAATTGTTAGTCTATGAATGATAGTTATTTTTCACAATTGGAAGTAAAAATATGATTTGTGTAAGGTATGAATTTATCATATTTTTTTATTAGCTCTTAGTTCGAAGGGAAAGTATGTATTTTTCAGCATGATAATGATGAATCTTTTAAAGTATGGCTCATAAAAATGAAAAAAATACTGGAAGAAAAAACCACCTTGGGTACATAGATGTGTAATAAATACCTGTTGAGTTATTGGTAATCTTTTGCTAAGACTGAATCTCAGTACTTCAGCGCATGTAAAAATCAATTTTCTGTGATCCCACTTAATCACACCCTGTTGTCTCTGTTTTAGATTTCAGGTAGCGATTCAGCAGGGGTTGGGGACCAATAGTAACTCATGCTTTTTTTGTTGTTGTTCTTGTCTGGCTCATGGATTCAGCATTTCAGAATATGGTACTCTAATCTTAAGGCTTTGAAAAGAAGTTGTGGCCATTTTTTCTTTATATTTTATTTAACTGGTTGCTGAAGCCTGGAAACCCATGTTGGTCTTTTCAGGGAATATGCATCGCTAAAGAGTTCATTGTGTTTGCAAAGGTACAGATTTCCTCAGATGCCCGTGTATGTAGGCAGTTAAGCTTTCATTTCAATGTTTGCAATCTTTTAAAACACCATACAATTTTTCTTTTCCATCTTGAAAACCAGTTAAAACTGCCTCTGGCCAAAAATGTTATTGTTACTAGATAGTATCAAGGTATGAGACTAAAAAGTTAGAAGGCTTTAAGATATAAATTACATAAGTTAGTGTTTTCTTTCTCTAAAAGCTCTGACCCTTGCTGACCCCTTATTAAAATTTTTTTTGAAAGGGGAAAATATCAGAGAACTTAAAAATGGCCTTTGTGGCTTTGCCTCAAAATCAACACATTTCATCATGTATAGATGTTATACCTTGCTTCCTCAAGTGGGCCATGAAAAAAATCTCATGAGCATGCAAACTGATGTCACCCCAAAATCATGGTAACGATTTGAATTGCTCTCCACATTGATGTTGGTTAAATTCCTGCCTGTTGTCAGCAGCTATTGCAAACTGGCTGTTCTAAACCCTTTCTACCCCTACCTCTCTGCAGCTCAGCAGTTAATCTCAGCCCTCCCCCACCACGTAACAGCCTCAGGCAGAACTTCCCACTTAGACACCCTCACACACAGCCTTCCTCAACTTCTTGCCAGTGCCTGTCCTGCCCAAGATGAATCCCTGTTCCTGTGCCCTAGGCCCTCTCCCTTGATAGACGACTTGATCTAGATACAGCCTCACATACGGCTTTGCGTTTAAACCTGTTCAAAGACTTCTGCTTCAAACAAAAATACCTTTCCTTAGCCCTTTGAAAGCCTGACTACCAGTGAAGTATACTGCCCTTACCTGCACTCTGTCCATTGTGCAATCCACTGAAGCAGTAGTTTTTAACCCTGCTACACATTAGGATCACCTGGGCAGCTTTAATAAGTCCTAATTCCTGGGTTGGCGCAGTGGTTCACCCCTGTAATCCCAGCACTTTGGGAGATCAAGTCAGGCAGGCCAAGAGGTCAAGAGATCGAGACCATCCTGGAGAACATGGTGAAACCCGGTCTCTACTAAAAATGCAAAAGGTAGCTGGGTGTGGTGGCATGTGCCTGTAGTCCCAGCTACTCTGGACGCTGAGGCAGGAGAATTGCTTGAGCCCGGAAGGTGGAGGTTGCAGTGAGCTGAGATCATGCCACTGCACTTCAGCCTGGTGGCAGAGCAAAACTCCATCTCAAAAAAAAAAAGAAAAGAAAAAGAAAAAAGAAAAGTGCTAATTCCTGAACTAGACCACAGACCAATTAAATCAGCATGGGAAAGTGGGGACAGGCTTCAGTCTTGTAAAAAAAAAAAAAAAAGTGCAGCTGAGGCGGAGAACCACCACTCTTAAACTGCTACCCTTGTCACTGTTAAAACTGTTCTTGCTGGGTTCACCAGTGACTTCTGTCAAAATTTAGCCCTTAGGTTGATTTTTATGATATTGATGCTATCTAACTAATTCCTTCTTTGGAATGCTCCGTTTCCTGACCCGGCTTTTCTGATTTTTCTCCCACTACTTTGCTCTTTCTCAGTTTCTCTAGGTTGTTTGGTACGTCAGTCTAGCACAGACTGGATGTCGGCCTCTGCCACCACCTCCGTTACTTCAGTGAACACCTGTATGCCAGTGAGTTCCTTTGCTATACCACTTTAATGCGCTAATTTAAAAGCATAGATTAGAGTGAAGCATTCATATTCGTTAATCACTGCAGGCTTCTGGGAAAGCATACTAAAGGTCTTGATCCTTCTCTCGCCTCCCTTGTTCCTCCTCCAAGCCCCGTGAGGTAGGAGGAATTGCTAATGAGATTAGTGAGATTCTAAGGTGGATCCCTCCTGTTTTATTTATGAATTGCTGTTTATGAAAAGATGGCCTGGACTGTGGTCCCTCTTCAGCTTTCTCCTTTTCGGGGTCTTGGACTGGAAAGGAGGCCTGTGCCCAAAAGAGGCTCCTCTACCTAATGCTGTCTTCAGCCCGTGG